AAGAATCCATTTTTCCCTTCTCAGCTAAATTCTTGATCAATTTCACATGTTCATCTTCATTCTGTTGTTGTGCTAACCGAATCTTCTCAGTTACATCGGATGTGTATGATGTTAAAATTAAAGCATTTCTACTGAGAGCATGAGCATGTTTCATTTGGCTTCCTGATCGATGTACAATTTCTTAATCGAATTCTTCAATAAACATTGCCCATCTTGCAATTTTGGGAGTTAAATCTTTCTTATCTAAAGTTTTCTGAAAAGCACTACTATCAGTTACAATTTTGAATTTAGACCCTAACAAATAGTTTCTAAACTTCTTAAGAGCTTCTATTACTGCAAGGGCTTCTAATTCATAACTACAGAGTTTCTCTTGCTGCGGTGAAGTCTTCTTACTCATATACTGGAATGGGTGATAATTACTATCGCCAGACAGTTGGAGTAGTACCGCACCGAAGCCTTGACTACTAGCATCAGTATGAAGTTCTAATGGATTTGCTTGCCTAAATATATGTAGAACAGGTGCTTGAGAGAGAATTTCTTTTAATCTGCAAAATGTTTCCTGTTGTTCGGAATCAAACTTAAAACCAATACCTTTTCTAAGTAAGTCACTAAGAGGTTTAGCTATTTTAGCATAATGAGGAATGAATTTACGAAAATATCCCGTTAGTCCTAAAACGCTTTGTAGCTGTTTACACTTAAACGGGTGTGGAAAGTTTTGAACAGCAACAGTTTTGGAAGGTGATGGTCGAATAGTTCCGTTTTCAATTACATGTCCCAAAAATTCAATTTTCCGTTTTAAGAACTGGCACTTTTTGAAATTTATTTGTAATCTGTATTCCGAAGGAGTTTTGAATACTCTTTCTAATTTGTCTAAACATTCAACTTCATCATTAGCCGGTACGACTATATCATCCATGTAAATAATTAGTACACCCTCATTTAACAAGTCACGAAATACTGAATAAATGTACTTTGGAAAACATTTGGACTAATACATAAACCAAAAGGAGCTTTAAGAAATTCATAAATACCATTATGTGTTACGAACGCGGTGTATTTTGTGCACTTTTCGTCTATGTGTACATGGAAAAAGCCATTTTTCAAATCTAGTGTCGTGAAGACCTTTGATTGTTCTAAACGATCAAGTATTTCCGGAATTAAAGGCAGTGGAAATTTGTCTTTAATAATCTTATTTAATTTCCGATAGTCAATGCATAATCTTTTAGAAAAAAATTTTTTTTGCACAAAACAATAGGCTCTGCATAATTAGAATTGCTAGGCTTTATTAGGACCTCTTTCAGCCATTCCTTAATTTGCTCATCAACAATTTTTTTGTTCTGCGACAGACATGTATCTTCTATTTTGACAGACAGGAATTTCATCGCGTAAATTTATTTGCATCTTAAAGTCCGATTGTCTGTTTTTCCGAGGCTGGTACGAATTAATTAATTTACACAGTCTTTCTTTATGTTCCACATTCGAAATATGCGATAAATCAATCTCGTTGACAGAAATAGCATTCACCAGATGTGAAAGGTAATTAAACTTCGAGCTACTTCCGCTTTTGGGACTTTTGTTTAGATTAACAGGGATGCCAGGCGATTGAGAAAGATCATAAACATTCTTCAGTGGCACAGCAATATTCAAATTTCCCATAACGCAACGAGCGTTAGCATTTCGAGATGACTCAGCAGTTATCAAGTTTACATTACTTTTATTCCGATAATAAATTATTTGAAAAGCCATTCTCGGTAAAAGAGAAGTTAAACTGATTCATTACATCCAAACCTATTACAATTTGATTACATAACGACTTGGCCACATAAATTTTCGTACGAAGTGAAAAACTATCAATTGAAATATCAGAAATAAAAAAGCCAATGGGATACGTTTGCTCTGATTCAATTCCTTTTAATGTGATATCGCTAAATTCAAACTTGGAAAGTCAATTTGCTTATGTATCTCCATGCTGCATATTGTAACATCTGAACAAGTGTCAACTAGACTATCAACTAAATGATTATTTATTTCTACAGTCTTCATAATTCGATTATTATTAGAAATTCGTGCTAAAGAAGCTTGTTTCTCAGGGATCTGGTTTTGACAATCAGTTGATTTATGCCCAAACTTTGTACGTTTAAAACATTTTATCCCACTCGATTTGTTTATACACTGAGATTTATGCCCAAATTCCTCGCAACTAAAACATTTGAGTTTATTAACATTAGATTGATTTTGGTTTGATGACACAAGCTGACTTCTATCTTTAACTTGAGTGTCTACTTTCGGTTTCAGATTGTTACACTTATCATTGTCCGATCTCATACTATCATAAAGTTTTAGCCTTTGTTTAAATTCAGATATTGTTTCTCAACCATACAGTATAGTTTTTCTCACCACAGAATCGGGAATACCATCTATGACATAGTTAATTAATGAAGCATCTTCAATGTTACCTCGGGAACATATTTCTTTCATTTTCAAAATATACTCATCTAAAGATTCATTAGGCATTAATTTACGCTTACATAACATTTCATGCAATTCAGCTGAATTAAAAGCTTTACCAAATTCAGATTTCAAAAGCTTTTTTAACTTACACCAGTCATAACTTTAGGTTCACTCTGAATAAATAGTTTCGCTTTACGTTTTAAATGATCTTTTAGCAAAAACTAATTTATGCAAATCACTCAATTTCAAAGAGTTTATAACATTTTCAAATTCATCAATCCATTTATCAACATTTTCATATGCATTACCAGAAAAAGGATTAACAATACTTTCAATATCCGAAAAACTAAGATGAGGTTTAAAATGATCTTGAATTGGAATCTGCATACTGTTATTTACTTGAGACTCATTAAAACCACGATTGTATATTTGATTATCATCAAGCATTACTTCAGAAATTTTATTAACAATTTCATCTTCAATATCACTATTTTCTTCATGCAAAATATTTTCAAATAAATACAGATAAATCACATAGGAAAGAGACAATTCGGGTTACTACTTCTCCTTTTGAACCATCTGAATTTATACATAGTACATTATAAAATTAACTCGTTCAAAGAAAAACTATTCTGCACTGTATCTATTTTCTTATTACTTTTCCGGTTATTTCGATCTTCATCAATATTAAAAATAAGCTTATGCAAACTTTTGATTTCAGAACTTTTACTATTCTTTAAAGCTGCTTCCAATTCTGGAATTTCTATTAACTTCATATTGGAAAGAAAGTGTTGTACTCACCCGACAGATGATCGTCTTCAATTGGGGTAATCCACACACTTAAACAGTAATCCAGTAAATCCAACAACTTGTAAGAACAGTTCACTAAATTCACAGTCAGTCAATACACAGTTCAGAATACTATTCGGACACTTTCGATTTCGTTGAGTTCGCCGCACGGTTGGTTGCCAAATTTTGTAGAATTTACTTTCAAAACATGAGGAGAGCACGGATATTGCATTATTAAATGCTGTATTTTACTGTTAAGAAATAGATAAAGGTAATAAAAGGTAACTTAAGTAAAAATTAATATTGCAGGTGATGTAATGATCGTTATACTCAGTCCACACAGGATTCATGTAATGATGAATATTTCAGTCCTATACACACGTAACATCCATGGCTAGCTTTAGGTAATGTGATCAGCTTGGTTAAAGGAACTTAACATCAAAGGAAACTGTCTGTTTCCACCAACTCTTGGAGGATTTACAAGCCATCTGCTTGCCTCTGCTCACTTTTCACATCAGGATGCTATCTCACCTTGTCTGGAATGCTCCGCACTGTCCTAAGCTGGGATGACGTCACCTCGCTCGGTATTCTAATAAGTCAGCATCGGTCGTCGATGATCTCTACATTTATGACCTGGAATCATAATTTCCCCTCTTAAATATCCTGCCAGTTGTGCAGATCAGATGCACTGTAGCGACAACCGTTCATTCATTGGCAGCCAAAATGAAAAATTTGCATTTTTGTCGAAAACTGTATGCATATAAATATGTGTCCAATTTGCTTTATATATTCTCGGTGCGGGTTTTTTTTTTTTTTTTTTTTTTTTTTTTTGTGTGTGTGTGTGTGTGTGTGTCTAAGAGGGTATTATACAAAATTTCTGTGCCTTTGCTAGCACTCTAATGCATTTATATCACCAAGTATTTTTTCTCCTGAAACGAGAGGCTGTGTGAGATATAAAAATATGAAGAAAGTCTGTAACAAATTATTACCTAAATTGGAGCAGACTGCTAACCTGATTGGTAATAGTCTTACCACTTCAAAGCATCTGCACTGATATCACTTTTGATGTCACCTTGTATACCTATAACTAACTTTGCAGTGTTTGTCTATGCTAACAATATAATCTGCATATATAAAATACTGTGCATAGCACAATCACATCACATAGTACAATGGGGGTAGAATGTATGCATTGTGCTGTGTGATGTCAACAGAATGTGCTTCTACAGAATTGTTTATATTCAGAAATAAAATGCATTCAACCATCAAGCTAGTTGTGATTTCCTGACTTCCAGTCATCCACTACTTAAGAGATTCAAGCTATATGCTATCATCATCCCCACCACTCCAGCCAGTTTATTAGTTAATGGGTCTTCTTCTGTCATCATACCATCAAAGTTATTACACACACACACAGACAGACATATATGGGATCTGTACAAAAAAATTAAACTATTCAGTTTTTTATTTATATATCATATAAATTTGTTTCCTAATATTTATAACTGTGCAAGATTCAAATTTTTAACAGTTCATTTTTTTTTAAATATCAGTTTACAGTACAAGCATAAAAGTGTAATTTTATTTAACAGATGTTAAATAACATTTTAACTAACCAGGGTTGTCTCTGGTTACTTGAATGCAAATGTTAAAATAATCCTATTAAATTTATGGCTATACTTTCTGTTGCTGACTGAAGCATAACTGTATTCAGCATGTATTAGTGTCATTTTTTATATGATTAAATACTAATCTTTTTTTTTTTCAGTTAGAAGATGATATTTTGTCAAAACCAGGGTATATAGACACTATGAAAAAATTTGCTTATAAGCAAATAACAGAAAAAAAGGAATGGATGATTTTAGATTTTTGTCAGCTAGGATTCATTGGTATGTGCCATATTTTTCTTTTAATTTCCCATTACTTATTTAAATGTAACGGGTGAACGTTAGCGTTAAATTTACATATTGAAAATTTTTTATTGAGACTGTAATGTATATGTAAAATTTTGCTACTGTCATATTTTAAAACAAAATCTTAATAACTCTGAATAGGAGGGATTTATATCGTCAATAGTTTTTAATAAAAAAGTTTTCTTTATAATTATTTCAATATAATCATGAATTTTTAGAAGCCAGAACTGTGGCACAAAAATGGAAATTTAAGCTGTAGGGTCACATAAGTAAAGTTTGTTTTTGTAATGAAGGATTTGAAAGAAATCCCAAATTTGCTGTTTATTGGTACCAGGATAATTGTAAACATATGCATTTTTCAAGAACGTTAAATGAATCTCACAATGACTATCCAAATATCTTTGTTTTAAAAAATAGCAATTTCATATTGTCTGATAAGAGCATGTTGACTTATTACCTGCTTTGAAGTTTTCCACATTTTCAAAATGGGTTCTTCAATCTTGATTTTCCTGTGTTCTTTTGAATAGTTGCTAATAATTGGTGTAAAACATACATACCAACTTTCAAAAGACAAAATCCAGCTTTCATTTGGCAATTTCAGTTAAATCTGAATGGAGATTCAGTCAATGCATACTCATTAAGCATTTTCATTTGAATACACAGCCAAGTTTTAATTTAATTTTATCAGTTTTGAAAGTAAGCCTCAAATGTGCAATTTCAGATAAGGGAACTAAAATACTGTTTGCTGACATATTAAACATTCTGTAAACTATCTGTTCTAGAAAACATATCAAAATATGCAATTGAATTGTACTACAGATTACCTTTCTATCCTTGATTTGATCCGAGTTTTAAATAAGTCTCAACACAATTGAGTTCTTGGGCTTGGGTATATAAATAGATTTTCATTATTTAATTATAAGTTGTATACTTTTATTGATGTTTTTAAGTGCAGCATAATAAGTTAATAAAAATTATAAGTATAGTTTATACAACGGGCGGTCAGAATGTTCCTGGAATTTTGTTGTAACCTTTTATCACTACAAATAATTAACTTATTTTTTACTACCACTATATTTATTTACTGCCAAAATTCATAACAGGCAGTGTAGCTGAAGGTAGGAGTGTGTGGTGATCAATTGTCACAATGTCAAAGAGTGAACATCAAATTCATGTACAGATTGTGGAAATCTGCTTCAGAAACATTGTTAGCCTTACATACAGTTTACAGTGGCAATTCTTTAAAACTAAACAATCACTTACATGGGGTTTTTCAGGATTTCAGAGTGGACGGGAATTGCTGGAAGATGAGAGCATCAGTGGGAGACCTTCAACCTCCAGAAACGAAGGAATGATCAAAAAGTGATACAGGCAGTCAGATCAGACCAAAAAATGATCATCCATGGGTTGGCACAAGAAGTGGGGGATCTCTCATGGATCTTGTTAGTACAAAGTTTTTCCTGTGACTGCTAAACCCAAATGGAATGGAAGCTTGGCAGTTTACTGCAGCCGAATATTTTGCAAAAAGCACAGAGGACCCGATGTTTCCTGAGACAATTAAAACCTGAGTGTACACTTACTACCTGGAGGCAAAGATGTAGTCATCGAAATGGGACTCAACATTTTCTTCTCAACCAAAGAAATCACATCTTGTCCAGTCCAAAACAGAAGTGGGGCTCATTGTGTTTTTCAAGAATAAATGTATGGTGCATCATGAATTTGTAACAGCTGAACAAATTGTTAATGGCCCTATTTACTTTCAAGTTTTGAAAAGATTGAGGGGGGGCAATCTGAAGAAAATGGCCCAGCAAATGGCAAGGAGGGTGGTCACTGCATCATGACAAGACTCCCTCCCATACGTCAATTGTTGTGCAGACATGGCTCGCAGAAAAGAACATTCCAGTCCTCCTCCAGCTTCCCTATATATTGAATTTAGCACTGTTAGATTCTAGCTCTTCCCCAAGATCAAAATGGGTCTCAAAGGTAACTGTTTTTTCACTGTAGAAGACATCAAAACCAATGTGATGGTTGAACTTCAGAAAATACCACAACAGAACTTTCATATGGCAGGAGCAAGTGTATGTGTTGTGAATGAGCCTGCTTTGAAGGTGATTAAGTAAATGAGCACCTAAATTGTGGTAATAAGGAATTGCAAAAAAATTCCAGGAACTTTTTGACTGCTCCTCATAAATATCATTACTATGAGTCTTTTTTTAGCCAATGTAATGTTCAAAACTTTTTGTCCTTATTCTTTAAAATATATTGATCTCACAGCTTTATTCAAAAACTGCTAAAACATAGCACATGAAAATTTAGGTGCATGATCTTTTGAAAATTTGCTGTTTGAATCATTCATCAGACTTTTTTTTTTCCTGCTGATATTAATTGTTGAAAATTGAAGGCGAGTCACTGACTACAGTGTAAAAATGGGTCACCTAAGTTTGCATGTTCACTTTTTATAACTTCTGCAAATTACAACCTGCTCTTTCACCCCATAGGGTGAGAATTGAACTTTTTCACAGCTTTTGATGCTTGGTGTCAAAATGCATTCCCCCCCCATTAATCTCATTTTGGAAAAAATATCACATAACCCCTTTTTATCTACTGATTCAGTTATAGTTTTGTCATTAGGAAAGTGATTTTCCTTCACAAATTAAATTAACCATTTTGAATAACAAGTTGATAAGTTATATGAAGGAATGATCACCTTTGTCCCATTTCCACTTATGCGAATTGTATATATTCGATATGTGGTTCTTCAATCAGCGAGTGCATTCATTTTGACTGACATTTGTGATGTTATGAACAAAAATAGACTGCATGAAGTGGAACATTGATCAGCTTCTATCTGTACGTTTTGTAGAAACTTTGGAGTAACGGGAGGAAAGAGGAGAAATCATTCGGTATTAATAATAATAATGCTGATAATAATTCTGATTGATGCAGCAATGGTTTTCAAGAAAAGAATATATTTCTTAAAAATACTTGTTTCTGAAGTTAAGAAATAGCTGCATTATAGTGAGAAATCTGTGCATTGAAACTGTCAACGAGCTATAGTCAAAAATCGTTAATCCGGACTCATCGGGACTTCGGCGATTCTGCATCACCAGTTTAAACATGGTAAGACGGCATGCAGAAGTTACAAAATTAAAAATATGAAACCGTAATTTATGAAATAAAGAATAGTTATGATCTAAAGGGTATCAAAATTTACAAAAAGAAAAAGCTTAATATTTATTTGTTTACTTTATTAAACATTTCTTTCAATGTAAGTTGTTTAAGTTGCTTCGTTTCATGTGCTAATACTTTCTCTTTAATTCTATTAAACAGACATAATTTCTTGTTTAGTTACAAAGTTCCGCTGTTCAAGTCCTATAATTGCTGTGTCGAGAATACCAACTAATTTGTCAAATCGAAATTTTTTTGTTTTCAATAACCTCTGTGTCACTTTCTTCACTGTCGGAAGCGAATTATAATGATTAGGAACTTGATTTAAATCATATCAAAGACGGAGTACATCGAGATGAAGTACTACATTTAGTAAGGAATTATAAACCAAATAAAATAAAAACATCTGCCCTGAAGATAAGGATAGTGCTGACAGATCAACTTCGAATTCATTGTGCACCGCAGCATCCCCCCCCCTCACCACAGAGCAGCGTGAAATTGATAAAGAGATTTCGGATTTCAAAACATACTTTCACTTTGTAGATCCTTTACATATTAGTAAATATATATCGGAAATTCTATTTGACATAATCGAAAGTTCAAGCTTACTTTTATAAAATTGCTCTAACAGTCTGCAAAAAAATAATAAGGCGAATCCAATTCGAAGATTAAGGAACAATGCAATCTGCAACATTAACTCAATTAAATAATTTTAGCTTAGCTTATAATGTCCGTTATACATTAAACGTGCATGCGTAAACATATTATGCGCATGCGTAAACGTATTATGCGCATGCGCATATTCGCAGCCGTAAATACGCATATTCGCAGCCTTATGCGCACATGTCAACGCGACGCATGCGCAGAAAGTTTGTAGCTTTGAAGTCCGGATTATAGATCATTCTGGATTATGGGTGTCTGAATTAACGACTTTTGACTGTATTAACTTGAGTTAAAAAAGCGTAATTTTATCTATAGTGCTAGTTATTTGCATAGAGCTCTGATCAGTATTAAAAATTTCAGGTATAAAAAATGGAATTTATATCTATGACTTACCAAAACATTGCATTATTAAATATTCATATGGCACTGGGCCGTTTTGAGTGGGCTTTTGACTGCATCAGACTGCTGTAGCAAATATGATATGGCATTAGCAAAATTTTCTTGTGGTAGGTGAAAAATGAATGTTATTTTTAAAAATTAAATTGGATGAATTTTTAGTGTTTTCTGTTACATTAAATTATAGCCTAAATTAGTATTTTTGTGGTTGTAATTACATCATTTAGTCAGAATATATTATTGCATGAGTAGATAATAATAATTAATAATAGATTGGATTCACACAAAACAAATAACGGATTAACAAATTTTATTTTAGTTTACAGTTCTGGAAATTTCTACAAAAATACTCGTACAGCTCTTTTTAGTATCAGAGAGCACAATCAGCAGTTACACTTCACTCTACGAAGAACGTTAAACACAATGCAATCCAAAGGGCATCTAAAGACTGAAATACTTACACAGAGATATCTCAGTACTTTGAAGTCGACTCTGAACTGAAAAACGAATGCTATCTCCTGTCTTATATAATTTAATCCAAGCTGCCAAGAAATCTGGTAGCATCCACTTCTCAAAATTACTGAGAGGTATATGAGGGCTGGATATGGTTACAGTTACAAATAGGGGCAAATTACAGTTATTCAGTTAGAATACCAATTATAGTTATACAGGAAGTGGACCAAAATGTTGCCGGATGATTGCCAGGTATGATGATTTTTCCCCTTCAAGACAAAAATTAGTTGCCAAAACCATTGCCAGCCTAGCAATATCTTGGCAATTTAGCGAGGTAGCCATTTACTCAAAGTTGCAAAGCTTCACCCTCATCAGACTTATCATGTTACAATTTCAACAAGATATTATACTTTGATCAAAACACTGGTTAGAAACTTTTTTTTAATAGGAAATTCACTAGAATCTCAGCAGCCAACTGTAATTAATTCTTTAGGCGATGGTACGTTTAAATGAATTCAAAAAAATTAAATTAAAATCTTATCTATTTAATTGTTTCTGTAATTTAAGTTTGAACAATCTGTGCATATATATTGGTAGCATGGAAATAGTGTTAAAGTTTTGAGGCCATTGGTTTGTATCCCAAAGGTTTACAACAGAGTTCCCACCCCTTTCTGTCTGCAACTTTCACTGCTCTGTGTTCCAACTTATGTCTTCTACAATCTAATAATTTATTTTTATTTGTTTAAATTTTCCCTTTGGAGATTTATTAATATTTTGAGAATTATAACAAGAATTTAAAGCATATATATATAATTTATGCTTACATTTATTTTATATGAATGTACTTACATGTGTAATCACTGTTTTATCTTTTATCGTGTAGTAGGGATTTTAAATTGCTGCAAAAATATTCAAGAATTTAATATGCAGAGATGCTCCCCCCCCAAAAAAAATATAAAATAAAAAGATACATTTTATGCATTATGCATAAAATATAACTGTGTGCATGGTGCATTTTAAGCATAAATGAAACTTTTAATAAAAAATATAGCTATGAGGTTAAAAAAAATTACTGCTAAAATTTTATATTACATATTCTGTCCTTTATCACAGAATTATGATGTATTTTAAAATATGCTGTCTTGTATGACAAAGAGTTACATATATTGAAAAACATAATAAATATTGTGGAACTGTCACAAGTTTTTCATTACAGTTGCAACATATTTTTAAGTGCTTTCTATTTATAAGCTGTTGACATGATTACCATGTTTGTGTTATGTTAATTGTATTCTTTAGTTTTAATTTTAAATTACTTTATGATTAATCTTCTAAATGATCACAGAGATTCAGATTGTGCATTATGAACTTACTAATTCTGTACTGATTCTAATTCTGTATAATTATAAACTTACTAATTAAAAGTACTAACATGCTTTTACCATTACTTTCACAATTTGTAACCAGGATAAAAGTTTACAAAAGCTGACTTCAACTGTCTTGATATTTCATCATTCAATACAGGGACATCTAATAGCAGTAAATACAAATGATCTCCAAGCTTACATTGGTCATCAAAATTAAATGATAATGACAGAAATACAATGTAACTTATACTTAATGAAAAATTATTAATAGAAATTTGTACAAAAGCATTAGTTAACATAATTTACAAGGTCTAGCAGTTGATTATTCACAAAATATTGAAATTAAAACCAACTTTATGGAAACTGAAAAATGGTGGAAAAGTTAAGACACCTTATGTGGAACGAAGTTTTCTTTAATATGGTATAGGTCCCCTTGGATATGCATACCACGCAGACTTTACCAAAGTATTGATCAAGTCTTGTGAAATCGTGTGCCACTCTTGTAAAAGTGCACTTTTCAGCTCCTGGAGGGTCAGAGGAGGAATTTGGCATGCTGAAATTCGGTGCTGTAAGGCATCTCACACATACTTAATCGGGTTCAAGTCTGGTGAGTAAGGTGGTAAATCCATTTAAGTGATATCTTCTGTTTACACATATTCTGACACCACATATGCTCAGTGAGGCCAAGCATTGTCATCCATCAGCAAAAACTCTGAGCCCATAGCATCCCTAAACAGTCTAACTAGCTGATTTCCTTTATGCTGGTATCAATAAGTTTGTTTATTATTGGAAGAGGTGTTTGTAAAAGCAGGGTAACGATGATGAGAAATAATGATTATGAGAGCCTTACTTCTGTGTATCCATATATCTATTAGTCTGTATAATAAAATGCATCTCTAAGAGGCCTTGTTATCTTACTTTTTCAATTGCCTTTAAGCTGTAAATCAATATACATGGTTCTTCACATCTATGAGAAATTAGTATTTTTAAGCTTGAAGCTTTAAACAATATTGATTGTTTTGTAAGCGATTTTATCAAATTTTGCATGAAATTTTCTATTTTTCAATTTTTTAAATATTTTTTATGATGAATAATGTGCTAGTTTTCAATTATGGTGTTTTAAGATTTATGTTTAACTAGAGATAACATATTAAAGAATGACAGAAGTATATTTATTTATTTTGCACTGTCTTTCAGGGAAGATGTTTAAATGTGTGGATTTGTCCAAGTTAATCACTTTCTTCATTATTTTTCATAATGATAAACCAGTTGATTGGCTTTTGGATCATGTAGTACAGACTAAGGTTTGCCGTTTTGATAAAGATCCAGTAAGCACAGAATTTCATCTGATATTTTATTCTTTTTTTTTTTTGTTTTTTTGTTTTTGTGTGTGTGTGTGTGTGTGTGTGTGTGAGTAAGACTGAATGCAGGTAATCTGCTGGATGTTTAAAAATAGCATTCTACCCATGATTTATAGTATATTTAGATACCTTTTTTCACGTACTCTTAATTCAATAACTTTGAGCATTTAGTTAGAAAAGCTATGAAATTCTTTGTTGTTGTTTGCCTTTACACTATGAATCATCAAATGAAGTGGAAGTAGTGTTCATTACATACTGAAGTGTGGGTGTACAGCACCTTTATACTGATAAATTTGGAAATTTTAATAGACATATATGAATGTGCAGCTTATTAATAATTCCTATTTTTTTACTTTAGGCACTTTGTTGAATTTGTTTTATAAACATTTATTAGAACTTTGTTAAAAAATGCTGAAGTAGAAAAAAGCTGCAAATAAGGGAAACTAATTACAAATGATATAACATGAAAACCAAAACCTAATGTAAACAAAGGTAAATGCTGACAGATATTGAGTTCATGAAATAATATGCATAAAATCTACTACATCTGTCATCAATGTTTTGACAGACTGTTGATATTAATACAGTCAAATACCGAAAATCCGCTGACCTGAAATCTGCGTTGCCTCTCAAAATATAAACATTCAGTTTATAGGTTCCGGAAACCGCAACATTGAGTACGAAATATTGAAGAAAAAACACTTACCGAATAATGACATCATAATTACCGAATAATAATGAGTCATAACAGAAATACCAAATTATTGACATAAAAAAACTTTTAAAAATAAAAGTTTTTTTCCCTCTAATTTCTGCATCGAGGTAAAACGATTCACTCAACTCCTTCGTTAAGTTCACGATTCATGTTGTATTTTCTAAGCTTTGTTATTTCGCGAGATTGTTTATTGCTGCCTTTTTTTTATCCCGATATTTTGTGGATAAATTAAGAATATTTTAAAATTCAGCCCTTTTTAATGCAATGACAGATAAGATCAGCACTCATGATTTTACTGCTTGCAACGTTGAAAAACATAAACACATTGCATTGACGGTATCGCAAAAGGTGCAAAAGATGGAGGCAGGTGCTACTCCTCGATTTATAGCAGAATGGTATGGAATTGCGACACGATTATGTATGATATACGGAAAAATAAAGAAAAGCTGTTGAAATTTTACAGCAACATTGATTCTAACACTGGAATCCGAAACCGGAAATCTTTGCATGAGGGGAAATGGGCAAACCTCGATGCTATGTACGTATAATACAATGAATAATATAATCAATTTTATATATGTAATAATAATTTAATGCATATAATAAATTATTGCAATAATGTATATAATAATTTAATTAAATGTATCTAATATGCCTTATTTATTTTGTACTTATAGTCTGAATATTATGCTTTATCTTTTGTGTCCTGAAATCCGCAAAATCCTAAAATCCGCACAACCTCTGGTCCCAAGCTTTGCGGATTTCTGGACTTCTACTGTATGTAATTATTTGGTTGGACATTTTTATTCTTGAAATTGTTGTATGATTAACTGTTTAATGAATGATATATAACTACAGTAACTGAATGTATTTTCCCTTCTCTTTTATGCAACAGTAAATTAACTAGAGTGTAAAAGAAAACTCGGAACAGATGGTGTAACCTTTTAAATTTGGAAGATTCTTGCAATCATAATATTTTATTTGAAATGGTTATGAACTTTATTGATCTCCTTCAGTTCAAATAATCATGATTTGTCTGTAATATAAAATCCATACAAAAAAAATTAATTTCATGAAGTATTATTTTTATTAATGTAAATGTTTCGTCATGAAGTAGTAAACTGTAAAATGTAAATGTTGCATATCAATATTCATTGTTAGCAATTTTATAATTGGGTTTTGTATATATCCATAACAACAAGATATGTTTTTATATAGAGAAGATGTTTTGTGAGTAACTTGTGATATAAAAATGTCTAAACCTTTTAAGTTAGTAAAATTGTTTTAGTACAAAATAAAATATATAGTTTACAACCGTAAGAATCATCTTTGTTACTTCTCATGAGGAGTTACAACAATAAACATGTTGCCTTTCACACATAAAAGTACTTTTCTATTTAAATTTTTAATTATCATATACATTTTGCCTTTTAATTATTATTTTTCATGCAGATATTTGTTTTGCATATTCATTGTGAAATTTTCAGTTCACTTTATATTGAAAATCATGTTTTCTGATCTCTAAATTAAAATTAGAAAGAAATACAAAATTAAATGACATGTTGACTAGGAACTATAGTATTTAAACCAACGAAATCATTGTTCCATATAATCATAAATGAATTCCTATTTTCTGGGTTAGAAAAATACTAATTTTCAGAAATAAAAATAAGCATTTTGTAAATTTTGTTCTAAAAGCAATAATTTCCCTGATAAGACTAATCGAGAACTAATTGTGAACTTTTTAAAAAAAGGCACTCGAGGGAGATACTTATAGCTTAGATGCAAAAACTGCAGGATTATACCCTGTGAGTGAGTTTAATAGTTATTGAGGAAAAGTATGGACACATGAAAATTATTATTCTTCACTTTCTTTATCAGTATGTTTTCCACATTTTGAATATGAAAATTGCATCCTTCTCAATGGGAAACTGCAATTTTTGAAGTTCTCTTAAAATAAAAGTAGTATTTAAGGTATGAAAATGATCAAATTTTCATGTGTCTAATTGTAATCATTACCATGTGGGAGAAACTTTAAGTATATAACAAGTAAATGTCTTTATTGAAAGCAGTTTGTCACTGCCACATAAGAAATGAAAAAAATAATGAATGTTCTGTTTAATGCTCCATGTAAAGAAACATGTTGGTTACCACCTGTTATATGCTCAGTAGATTGGAATACTTAAAAGAGTTTGGTGTTGGATTATTCCTGCAAAATACTGCAACCTACTTGAGCTGATATATTAGGATGCTGAGTGTCCTATATCACAGGCTGGAATGACAACAAAGAAGTGAAGAACAGAGCTGGTGAACCTGTTCAAATGATATCAGAAGATAGCAATGGTAACCTGATGTGATTATGGATGAAATTAAAGATAACTTGAATGCAAGTGCAAATTATTAGGAAGTGCTTACCTGATGGTGATTTTCCTTTAAGTTATGCGGCTGTTAGTATTCCATTACATCTAAATCATCACAATCAGTAATTAGCCTGATAGTAGCAAAGCCTTGAATTGTGGTGCAACATACTGTTATAAATCATGGTATATATTATGGTTTTGGGCACTACAGAGCCCAGATAATAAAGTGGGAATGATACCACAGCATGAAATCACACCTTCATAGTAGAATGACACAGTAGCATAACTCCTGGTATTTTGATCTGCGATTGCATGAGGAACATTTAATGCAACCTTTTGGTCTATGTTCTAAAGACATTGATAGCTGTGTGACTTATTTTACAAACTGTACTTAATTCCATTTTTCAATAGGCTGCTATTAGTTATATATACGTGAAAGAGGGGCCTGGTGTTAAATGACATTTTATGTTATGTATAAGATGACATTTGTAGTACAGTAACTCATACAGTTGGAGGGAACATGAAAACATTTAAGTAGCAGTGCATGTGTAATAATTCTCATGTGTCATTCTAGTTTTGGATTACATGTTGCTCATGCAAATATCTCAGTGTAGCAGTCTTAGACTTGATTTGTATTCATGACCAGTTACATCTTCGGCTCAGGCAAACTCGATGAGTTATCGCAAAGTGGGTGCCCGCGTGACAACGCTATCCCGGGATAATATGTGCGACTTTCGATTCAATGAGACATCGAGCAATTGACTTGAAGATTCGAACACTATGAAAGTTCATACACGAACCGATGACAGAGTCCAGAAGAAACAACCAGTGAACTGATAAGCCTTAGACGGAGGTAAGTGTGCAATGGCATGTAAAAGAAATTTCCTATTGCTAGTCCGAACAAGCGTCCGTGTGACCACTCATAATAACACAGTTGGGTAACTCATAATAACACACATAGATACATAAATACAAAATAAATCCAGAGATACTTAAATAATACATAGTAGGAAAAACATATATAAAATATAAAGTAGGAATTATGTACATTATTTACAAAAATAAGAGTCAGGCAGCAGTACAAATCTATTCATAAGATCATAAAAACAAAACAAAGCTGAAGTAAGGAAAGGTGTTTACATAATTTGGTTAACAGAAAAAAGGGTTAATTTAGATGTCTTAGGATCGCAAGTGGGCGCTTGCTATTAACATCAAGTGTATAGTCATATTGAGGTACAGTAATTGAATTGTTATTTACATTGGGAATATTTTCATAGAATTTTTCTGCGAGGAGTGCAAAATAATTTGGGATTGTTGGTATTTCCAACTCCTCATGGATTGCCGTGTTTCTAATAAACCATCGGCTTCTGGAAATTTGCCTAAGGGTGACATTCTGCAAGACTTGCAGTTTGTTGATATTAGTGTTGCTGGTATATCCCCAAACAGGGCAGGCATAAGAAAGTATGGGACGCAAAAGGGGTCTTGTAAATGAGCAACTTATTATCAATAGAGAGAACGGAGTTCCGGCTAATTAAGGGGGTAAGTGTTCGTTTACGAGCACACGGAACTTGGCAATAAGTTGTGTAATGTGTGGGGTCCATGTGAGTCGCCTATCCAAAGTGATGCCTAGGTATCGGGCTTGCCTAGTCCACTGTATAGGGGTATTATACATGAGGATATCCTCCAAGTCGATATGTACCTTTTTTGTAAACTAGATCGCCTCCGACTTGTCTACGTTGATTTTGAATTTCCAGGCAGTAAGCCAGGACTCGAGTGTGTGGATGTGAGATTGGAGTGCTTGTATAACTGGACCAGGAGATGCATTTTTTTAGAGTATTGCCGTGTCATCAGCGTACATAGCCAGGGTGGTGTGTGGTGTTTGTGGGATATCG